GCCTACATCTCTGCCTCTCTCTCTGTCTCTCATGAATAAATAAATAAAATCTTTTTAAAAATTTAAAATATAATAAATTAATTTTTAAAGCCTGATAAGGTGATACGCGTGATTATGGAGGAAAAGATTTTGAATTCTTTTTTTTTTTTTTAGATTTTATTTATTTATTCATGACAGACACAGAGAGAGGCAGAGACACAGGCAGAGGGAGAAGCAGGCTCCATGCAGGGAGCCCGACGTGGGACTTGATCCCAGGTCTTCAGGATCACACCCCGGGCTGAAGGCGGCCCTAAACTGCTGGGCCACCAGGGCTGCCCAAGAATTTGAATTCTAATGGTAAGTTTGCTCCAGAAATCTTAGATGTTTCACTGGGGACATTCAGAAATTGGATGTCAAACTTTCAGCTTGACTTTAATCTTTTAAATCCTAAAGCTTGGCTAATATATCAGTGCACACTGTACTTTCTTGGGCTGTTGAAGGGTGTCCAGGTAGATGACATGGCTTAGCATCCCTCCAGGTTACAGTATCAGCAGAACAGGTCTCTATCTCAACTAGGGAAATAGCAGTAAACAAGGCAGCTGGAGGGGAAACAAATAGAAGTATTAACAAGCATAGGTACAAATGGATCCTCTAACAGAAACACGATAAAATTCAATGCATTCACAGGGCACCTGGGTGGCTCAGTTAAATGTCTGCCTTCAACTTAGGTCATGATCCCAGTGTACTAGCATCAATCCTCACATCAGGCTCCCTGCTCAGCGGAGAGCCTGCTTCTCCCTCTCCCTCTGCCACTCTCCCTGCTTGTGCTCTCTTTCTCTCCTAAATAAATAAATAAATAAATAAATAAATAAATAAATAAATAAATAAATAAATAAAATCTTAAAAAAAATTGTGTTCACAAAAAGGTAGAAAGTAGCAGCAGAAACTTTGAAAATTCGGAGCCTTTTAATATATTTATAGCATTATATAATTACTAATTTTAAAGTGTTGCCCATATTTTAAAATCATGCATATTTGATCAAGATAGTTTCTCCTACAGTCCTCTCATCTTTTCAAATATTCCATTAATGATCCTAAAGAATGGAGAAATAACCAATATTCTGTATCTTCCCCAAAGTTGTGAGAAGGCTGTGTCAAGCATCACCAAGAATAAGAAAAAAATAAAATGGAAAATAAATCAGGGAATGAACCCAATGGGATTTTGATTAGAGCATGAATATAAGCTTTTTCTCTGGGCAGGATCCATAATAAAGGCTAAAAAGACATAGTACTTAAATGAACCAGCCTGTTACAGAAGCAATATTGTCCCAGAGAGGGGAAGGGATGTCATACACGGTTAAGAGATTATTAAGAAGACTGGCTCCTCATGCATGTGCAAAAAGGGGAACTAATAGAGATAATATATTTAGACTTTCATAGAGCTTTCAGCAAGTTCACATCCAAATGAGTCATCCTGGGATCAGCAGGGACTGCTTTGTTCTGCATAAAGATCTGTCTCAAAACTGAAAATCATTTCTAGCCTAAAGTCTTACAACAGCCTGATTACTGGTCATCCTCTAGGCTTTGTTGCCCTGAGATCCTCCTCCAGGATCCAGAATGATCTTCCAGGGGACGCAAATCCCGTCAGGTTATTCTTGCTTAATACTTTCGGTGGCTCCCATTGCCATAAGGATGAAGTCTAAACTCCTTAATTGTGATAAGGGCCTTATGATCTGGTTCTGGTTCCTTGTCATTTTTGGATGTTCAGCATTTGAATCACTTTCTTATGTTTGGGAATTCCTTATCTGCCTCACATTTTAGAGCTGAACATGCCATATGTTTGCTTTCTCAGCCTTCCCTGTAGCTAGAAGCCAGGTATAGCCAATCATACGCTCGTAAACTCAAGAGCAAATGATGGGAAGACATAGGGACCTTAAGGAACTCTTTCTGGTGGTTGTGATTGTAACAAGCTTGAGCTTTTGGGCCAACAGAGGCAGCAATACCACGTAGGCTCCTGTGCCCAGTGATCAGGGCCAGCAGTATCAGTCAGACACATGGTAACATTAAGCACTCAGACGAGGTGGCAATTGGTATTCTCACCAGACCACTTCTGGGTGTGGTTTGGGGCATTGTTTGTGGTAATAAAAAATCTCCAGAAATTGATTAAACTCTTAAGAACACATTGTTCAATAATTCTCAATGTTAACAAAAATGTTTTGCAATCCACAAAACTAAAAGGCAACCTATGGAACAGGAGAAGATATTTGCAAATGACATATCCGATAAGGGGTTAGTACCCAAAGTACATAAGGAACTTTTACAACTCAACACCCAAAAAACAAATAATTGAGTTAAAAAATGGACAGACATGAACAGAAATTTTTCCAAAGACGTACAGATGGCCAACAGACACATGAAAAGATGCTCAACATCATTCATCATCAGGGAACTGCAAATCCAAACTACATTGAGATGTCATCTCACACCTGTCAGAATGGAGAAAATAAAAAACACAAGAAACAACAGGTGTTGGCAAGGATGTGAAGAAAAAGGAACTCTTGTGCACTGCTGGTAGGAAGGCAAACTGGTGTAACCACTTGTGAAAAACAGAATGGAGTTTCCTTAAAAAGTTGAAAATAGAACTACTCTATGTACTAAATACTTTGTAAGTAGTAACTCAAGTAATGATGAATTTAATAACAATGTATCATTAGTAGATCTATTTTGAATTTAATAACAATGTATCATTAGTAGATCTATTTTAAAGATAAGAAAACTGAGTCACAAAGAACTTAAATACTTCCCAGGTTACTTCACCAGTAAGTGACAGAGCAGGGATACAAAGGCAAGGTGAGGGGCGGCGGGGGGGGGTGGGGGGGTGGTATTAAAAGTTTCAACCCTTGGGACGCCTGGGTGGCTCAGCCTGGGTGGCTCAGCGGCTGAGCATCTGCCTTTGGCTCAGGGAGTGATCTCAGTCCCAGGATTGAGTCCCACATCAGGCTCCCTGCATGGAGCCTGCTTCTCCCTCGGCTTTTGTATCTGCCTCTCTCTCTCTCTCTCTCTCTGTGTCTCGTGAATAAATAGTCTTTAAAAAATTCCAACCCTCTAATCACACAGTTGGTTCTCTTAGCAACCAGTCCCAGTCTTAGGTGTGGCCCCAAACTTGCCTCATTAATATAGCAAAAGAATCTCTATCTCATTACTTAGGAAATCCTGAGGATTTTAGGAGCTCTGTGCCAGAAACCAGTACAAAGACTAAATATATATTATTGTTATAAATTACAATATCCTAGAATTTCACTTTAGTCTGAGGCTGTGATTACCTCCTGGTCATTTTGGCCTTCTTGGAAACAGTAGACAAAAAGAAAAACAAAAAGTTTTCATATTGGCAGCACTAAATGACCTTCATTAACGAGGACTAGGGTTGCTACTACACAACAGGGCCCAAAGGGATATGTCGGGAAACCCAGAGGAGTCACTGTGCTTCTGGTGCTTCCATGTCCGGTGATGTAAACGGGCAATTGCTGTGACTGAGGACCGATAACGCAAGAGTAACTGAGGTCCTGGCATTTGCAGATAAAGGTCCTGGTGAATCTGTTATAGCTTCAGACCAGTTTCAACAGTGGGGGACTGAACTTGTCCCGCTAACTCTCCACTGTAAATGACACGTTCCAAATTAATGTGTGCACAGATCCAAGCAGTACATGGAGTGGACGAGGAAACCGTCTACCTCGTGTCTCTTTTCTCTTGGCCAATCTTTTTACTCCAATTGCTGCAGGTCTGAGCTCCTGTAGGTGTGACCTGACATTATGCCACCTGAGCTGTACAGCACATCACTTCCTTTCTGCCCTAAGCTTCCTTCCCCCTCCATGTGAGAAGCCTGTAAGGACCCTCGACCATTCTGAGGTGCACACCTACCTGCAAGTGAAAGGAAATTAACTGCAGGAGACAACTCTTGACCACCTGGAGGAGGAACTAGTAGGTAATGGTTTTTTCCTTGTCTACAGGGAACGTTCTGTGTACATTCCACATGGCTCCTCAGGTCCCTAGTGGAATGGAGCCCACTACTCTGAGGCAACAGGCCAAACAGCACACTTAAAGGGCTGTCCCTCTAGCCCTGTTTCACTCGTACCAGCCTCCCATTTGTTCTTTCAGCTCACTCCCTCTTATAAACTACCTGCACACAAGCGGTCTCTCATGCTGTGTTAAAGCCACAGTACTAACAGAATCAGCCCTGAAGAGCAGGTTCTCCCTACGGCATCTTACTTCACCTTCATAGGTCAAATAGTCACCCTGGTGTTTCAACACTGAACTGTGGAGCATGTAGCTTTGTTTTACTGAGCAATACGGTTACCTCACTTTCATCTTCATGACCTTATGAGGAAGTATGCATTACTATCTCCATGCCAGAGATGAGGCAACAGGAGGCCTCATATTCCAACTGTTAAGCTTGGGCTAGGATTCTGACCCCAACTTAACCTCCAAAGCCCATGTACTTCTGTTCAGTTCAGCTTGGCCTCCTCTGTCTTCTCACCCCACAGTGGCATTATATCTCACCATACCCAACATACCTTGCCTTTTCATGCTTCCATTTTGTCCTGTTAGCCCTGTGATCCTCAGAGCCTAGATCAATGCCATCTCCCTAGAGAGAATTGCTGTTCCATCACTTCCTGAATCCCTAACCTATATCTTACCACACTGTTGCTACTGTTCTCTTGCATTTTCCCACTGGGGCTGGAGCCAGACAAGAGTTTAGGTATTAAGTGTACTAGCTATGGGCACTTAAGTAACAATCACTGAATAAACAGCTGTCACAGTATGTACTCCTTAAGTACAGGGCCTACGCCTGTCTTACTGACTACTGTACGGTGGGTACAGAGCACAGTGCCTGGCTCATAGTAGACACTCATTTGTTGAATGACTGAATGAATGAACATGGATCTGTTTCTTCATGAAGCTGACTCTTACATTGTATTATCCAGCGAATGTTTGTTGAATAAAGGTAATATTAAGAAAAAGTATTTAATGATTAATAGAAGATTTATTTAAACAATAATACATAGAGTTATCATCATTGCCAGACTTAATATGAAATGTTAAATGTTCGATCCAATTTTCCTTCCTGGATAAGTTTTTCTTTCCTATCCTGTAGAGACAGAAAGAAAAAAAAAAAAAAAAGCTTTGTTAGAAACAATACATTCTGACCTGTGTTCACTGCAACATTATTCACAATAGCCAAGATAAGCCAAGATACAGAAACAATCTAAGTGTTCACCAATGGATGAGTGAATTTGCCATTTCACAGGTACAAACTTATAGATACAGAGAACAGACTGGTAGCTGACAGAGCCAGGGGGTGGGTGGTGGGCAAAATGGGAGAAGTAGGCCAAAAGGTACAAACTTCTGATTATAAAAAGTAAATAAGTCACGGGGATGCGATATACAGTATGGTGACTATAAGCAAGTAATACAATATGGAATATTTGAAAGTTGCTAAAAGAATTCATCTTAAATCCTCATTATAAGAAGATGGTCTTTTTAAACTATGTATGGTGACAGTTTTTCTTTTTAAGATTTTATTTATTTATTCATGAGAGACAGAGAGAGAGAGAGAGAGAGAGAGAGAGAGAGAGAGAGAGAAGCAGAGACACAGGCAGAGAGAGAAGCAGGCTCCATGGAGGGAGCCCGATGTGGAACTCGATCCTGGGACTCCAGGATCACGCCCTGGGCTGAAGGCAGCCCTAAACTGCTGAGTCACCTGAGCTAAGATTTACTGTGGTGACAATTTTGCAAAATATACAAACAAACAAAAAAGGTATGGGAAAACACAAAAATAAAAAACCAATGTATTCTGGCATAACCCATGGCATGAAAAACAGGACTAAAATACTTCAAACCGAATTCCAATCTCCCCGTTGTCCAAAGCCTAGGGACTATGAGTAAGGAAGTAGCAATCTGAAGAAATAAAGGGACGATGAGACAACCATCCTATTGGAAAACATCTTACGCATATGTTGGAAGAATTCTATTACCCCACTAAAAAGCCTATGTCAAAAGCACAATGCAAACATCTTCTGGTTAAGTGTGGCCTCCTTTTAGTTAAGCAGATACTTTATCAGACAATCAAAATATATAAGCTCTAACAGGAGAGTAGATTGACCAGTTTAAGGCAGAGCTAGACAGTGGGCTCCAGTCTAGATGGCAACTCAAGGCCTGCTGGGGGTCTACTACCAGAGTGGCCTAGTGCCAAAGATAAGCTTGGCTTTCTCTGCGATCACATGGCCTCTGATGGCAGATTCCCACCACAGTCTGCTTTTGCCTTCCTGTTGTTAGGGTGTTTAACAGTAATCCACAAAACATGACCAACATAACTAGAATTCATACAAACAGGGAACATACTAAATGATTTATGCATTCTGCTAATACTTAACCCCCCTAAAAAAAGCTTTTTAAAATAAATGAACTAAGAAAACTAAATATAAAGGTTTCAAAGATAATATTTAAAGGTAAATCAAAATAGTAAAGTTTAACTTCTGTATTAACCATTTTTAAGTTTTTTGAGAGAGAGTGCATGTGTGTGCACGCGGGAGAGGGGGAGAGAGAGAATCTTAAGCAGGCTCCATGCTCAGTGCAGAGCCAGATGTGAGGTTCGATCTCACAACCCTGAGTTCATGACCTGGGCTGAAATCGAGTCCAATGCCTAACTGACTAAGCCACCCAGGTGCCCCTCTATATTAACTTTTTAAATTCTAGAGCAGCTATTAAATTAAATTTGAAAGACTCAGAGACTATCATTTTTAGCAAAGTATACTTCAATAGGAGTTAAACAATAAAACAATAAAATCAAACACGTAATTGAAACTTTAACTCCTGCTAGAAAGGAACAAAGATAAAAAAGAGAGGGAAACTGAAGGAAGAGTAAAGGACCAGGATGGGAGAAGCACTAGTGGCAAATGCCAAGAGAAAGAGCTACAGCCAGCACAAAGGGAACCTATCGCATAGAAACTAAACATCAGGTCCAAATACTTACTCTGTCAGTTTTGAAAACATAAAACCAGAATAAGAGGGGCCCAATTCCAAACAGAGCCCCTAGAAGTGAGGTCTTGGGAGTGGGCCTAAAATTGGGATAGATGTTTGCTGATCTTGCATAGGTCCAACGAATTAAGGCAGGATCCTCCTAAAATTCAAAAAAAAAAAAAAAAACAAATTTACAAGACGTTAAGCAAGGTCTGAAACTCCATACTGAAACAATCTCAACAAAACTTTTATGGGGGAGCACAGGAGATGCCTTTTGTGTTCCATCATCGTTAAGAGTGTACCCTGAATATTCCTAAATAGCTTCAGGGAAGATCTTTCATTTCTAGTATTTGTTGAATACTCTGATAATCCTGTTCAAATCCTTTGGAATTTAAAAGATTCTTATATCACCCCTCAGCTTTCTATTTACTTAAGAAACCTAATCTTTTTAAGCCGGCAGAGGCCATTTTTTTCTCTTTGATCATTTTTTTTTTCTGGATTGTTTTGCAGCTTGTCTTTGCTGAATTGTGATCAACTGAACCCTAGTATTCCTAACGAGGACAGATTTCATATGCTCTATCATGCTTCGGTTCCAGGATCCTTTCTAATGCTATCCCGCACCCTGTTCTGTCTTTCCAGGCTTCAAATAAATTGCAGGAAGGTGAAGGCTGAGGTAGGCTAACTCTGAACTTTAAGTTTTTAAAGCTGACTTGGGGGCAGCCCAGGTGGCTCAGCGGTTTAGTGCCACCTTCGGTCCAAGGGGTGATCCTGGATACCCGGGATCAAGTCCCACATTGGGCTCCCTGCGTGGAGCCTGCTTCTCCCTTTGCCTGTGTCTCTGCCTCTCTCTCTCTCTCATGAGTAAATAAATAATTAAAAAAGAAAAAAAGAAATATAAAGCTGACTTGGCTGATATTTTACATGACATAAAATTATTACATTTCACACTTAAAATAATTTATAGTGAGGACAAGGTTGTTATCAAAGAAAAATAATCAGACTGTCTTGGTTAAGAAAAAAAAATTGTCCATTGTAATATATTTAAACTAGAACAATTATGTTAAGACAACAAATCTGCCCCAAACACATAATTAAATTTAACTAGCTAAATCCCCAAATGACTTTATAAAATTATTTACTCCAATTAACTGATAGGCAGATTAAAAATAAGCAAATGAAGTCAGCTTTAAAACTTTAATACCAAAGGAGAACATTCAAAGTCCTATACTCCACCAAGAAGTTATGATTGGTAGGATTAAAATAATTAAACTGGATCTTCCACAGATGCATTTTAAACCAAAGTGTTTGCAGAAAAGGTGAAGATACAAGATATAGACAGGTTCAAGGGGATGTTTGAGCTTAATTCCTGAAAGTATAAAAACATCTATTCTTGTATCCATCCCTTCTGCTATTGACGTATTTGAATGAGCTCCTACGACAGATTTCTCAATCTGCCAGTCATCTCTCTACATATTTCTCTCTCAGATCTGTCTTCCAGAAACAGACATTTCATTTCATAAAAATATCAACAGCCCCATGACCATAGTTCATTGAACCTGGAACTGTGGTTAAGAGAGACTCCAAGACACACTCCATGGGAGACTTCTTCTTTGACACCACTCCATGTCCTCAGGACTATCGGCAGCATCTGACACGAACGCTCCTTGGAACTGTTTCTTCTTTTGGTTTCCACGGCACACACCTGTCTGGCTTTCCTCCTAACTCGACAGCCATTCCCTCTTGGTCTCTTTTGCGCTCTTCTTCCTTATTTCATCAATCTCTCAATATTGGACCTTAGACCTTGCTGGTCTTTTCTGACTACATTATTGTCTTGATGATCTCCTCTAGTCACACGGTTTTAAATATCCATCTATATGCCAATGACTCCCAAAATTGTACCTTCCCAGACCTCTACCCTGAACTTCAGACATGATATCCAATTACCTGCTCAACACTGTCATGCTGTTTAACAGGCATGTCAAAGGTGACACATCCCAAACTGATTTCCCAATATTTTACTCCATCTCCATCCCTGCTCCTCTCACATTCTTTTCCATCTTGGTAAAAACCAACTTAATCACTTGTGTCAAAAAACTTTGAAGTCATCCCTGATCCTTCTCTCTGTTACACCTCACATCCAATCTGCTAGCAAATCTGATTGGCTTGACTTTCAATACATACTCAGAACTCACCACTTCCTACCAACTTCCACCGCCAAAACCCTGATGGATTGCCTCAAAAGCCTCCTAAACAGTCTCCTTGCTCTTGCCCCTCCATAATGTATTTTCAACCAATGAACCAGAGAGGTGTTCAAATGTAAGGGCAGATTACCTACTCGGTAAACGACCTACAATGACCTATGAAGCTTGGTGTGATCTAGTTCCAGGTACCTGTCTGACCTCATCTCTTCCCACTTGGCTCTCACCTTTCTCCACTTTACTCACAATCGTCTCTTCAGTTATTTCTGGAACTAACCGGGCACACTTCTGTCTAAGGACCCCTACACCTGCTGTGCCCTCTACCTCAGATGCTACTTTCCAGACAGCTGTGTGGCTAGCTCCATCTCCTCACTTCCTTCATGTTGCCTTCCCTAGGGGTATCTACAATTTCAGCTGGTATCCCTTCCAACTACACAACACACATTCCTAATCCCTTCCTTGCTTTATTTTTCTTATCACTTGCCATCGATATGCTAAACAATGTAGTTTGTTTTTTTTTTAACCTGTTTATTACTTGTCTGCCCCACTGGAAAGAAATCTCTTCACAGACAGGAATCGACACAGTCACCTCAGCAACCAAAACAGGGCCTGGCCCTATAACAGCAATTACTCGTTCATGGAATTGATCATTTGTAAAGATTATGCAAGGAATTTCTATATACCGATTATTAAACGATGAAGTGCCAGGCACTCATTTAATTAACAGAACAACCAATGAGGCAAGTTATTACAAGCTTTTTTTTTTCTTTTTTTTTTTTTTATTCACGAGAGACAGAAAGAGAGAAAGAGAGAGAGAGAGAGAGAGGCAGAGACACAGGCAGAGGGAGAAGCAGGCTCCATGCACCGGGAGCCCGACGTGGGATTCGATCCCGGGTCTCCAGGACCACACCCTGGGCCAAAGGCAGGCGCTAAACCACTGAACCACCCAGGGATCCCCTACTGGCTCTTTCATACGACAAAATTGAAAACTATTTTAGGGCACAGAACCAGAAAAAAGAAAATCTGGGGTTTAGATTTCAGCTTTTTGGTACATCAAGCCCTGTGTGAGTACGTAAATAACAAATGTCTCCCTCCGCACCTTCTTCTCAAGTAAACAAGGTTCTGACTTGAGGTAGTGCAGCCAACTAGTTAAGGAGATGTTTTGGGTTACGTAGTTCAGGGTTTAAACTCACTTGCTAAGGGGGTATTACTCTGTGACCTCCGTGTCCTTCCCCATGTTTGTCTTCTCACCTGTAAAATGGGGATCATAACAGGGCCTAATGCTTTGAATACTTGTGACGTTTGGATAATCAGAAACGGTTTATTATTTTTTAAAGATTTTATTTATTTATTCATGAGAGACACAGAAAGAGAGAGAGAGGCAGAGACACAGGCAGAGGGAGAAGCAGGCTCCATGCAGGGAGCCCGACGTGGGACTCGATCCCGGGTCTCCAGGGTCAGGCTCTGGGCCAAAGGCAGGTGCTAAACCTCTGAGCAACCCGGGAGGCCCTCAGAAAGGGTTTAGACAATGTTGGCACGATGTAAATTTCCTTCCATTCTCACAACTTCCAAAAAAGTCCTACACAAGACCAGTGCAACCGCTGGGGAAAGTTTTGTTTTTAAGATCACGGTCGACATGCTATTTACATAGCGCTTATGCAGAAAATAACCGAAAAGCCACTCACTAAGTAACAGCTGTCGGCCCAGTGGTTTTAAGCGCCTGTGACGTCCTACAAACTATCTCCTTCAACCTTACAATGATCCTGTAAAGAATGTAACTACTTTTCCCCTGTAAATAAGACCAGAAGACCAACGTAAACTAAGGTCGTCGAGCTTGCCCTTGTGTTCCTTCTGCCTTGGTGTCTGACTTTAAAGTTTCAACTAGCTGCGGAGTTTCTGTTGTTGTTTTTTAAACGTTTATTTATTCATCAGAGACACACAGAGAGAGAGGGAGGCAGAGACACAGGCAGAGGGAGAAGCAGGCTCCACGGAGGGAGCCCCAGGTGGGACTCGATCTCGTGACTCCAGGATCACACCCCGAGCCAAAGGCAGATGCTCAACCGCTGAGCCACTCAGGCGTCCCTTTTTTTTTTTTTTTTGAGGTGGGGGGGAGGTGTCTTCAAAAGATACAAACTGAAAAAATAAAAAAACAAGAAAAAAATAAAGAAAAAAAATCACTATGATTCCCATCAGGTGAGAGCAGCATTGCTATGACCTGTGAACTGAGAGGTGGAAAATTGCTCTCAAAAAAAAAAAAAAAAAAAAAAAGTCACACAAGGTCACACACAGGAAACATTTTCCTGAGCACTCACTACACAGCCCAGGCTCCGTGTCGGCCAGCCCGGGGGCCCCATCTCACGGTATCCTAACAGCCGCGTTGGGGCAGAAGGATCGTGTTGGCCCCATTTTTCCGGGCGGGAGCTGGGCCACTTCCGGAGTGATCCCGCCGGGGCTCGAACCCAGCGCGCCGCGGATCCCGGAGCGTCGTCTCCGTCTCCGAGCTCTCCGCCTCCCTCAGCCTGAAGAAAACCGAAACCTAAGCTACCGACCCGGGCCGCGCGGCGTCCCCCGGCCGCAGACTCCTGTCTTCCGCCCCCGCCCGGCCGGCGCGCCCCGGCCCCCCCCCACCCCCCCACCCCCGCGACTCACGATGAGCCCCCGGCGGCTGGGGTCGTTGTACTGAAGCAGGTACTCCCGTTTAAGTCGGGATCTTATGGCCAACCGCTCGGCTTGCGCCCTCCGGGCTTCCGGAGAGACGTCGTACTCGGCTGGGTCGAGGGTAGCGGGCAGGGTAGCCAGAGACGACGGCTGGTACTTGGGGGCCGACATCTTGGCAACCCGCGCACAACCGCGCCTGCGCGACTCCGAGGCCCGCCCCCTTCACGCCGACCTTCCGCCCGAGAAAGTGCGCTTGCGCAGTAGCCGAAGGGAGGCGAGAAGAGTTGAAGACCCGGAGCTCGGCCTCTGTCCTCCCCGCGGAGTCAAGGTCCTGGCCTCGAGGGGCGCTCTGCGCATGCGCAGTGTGCTTCCCTTGCCCCTTCGGGCCCACCCGGCGGCCGCCTAGCTACACCCGATCTATTATTGCTGTTGTTGCTCGTTGCTTCTTCCTAGCACCGAGGCTCATCTCTACGGACAAAACAGAGCTTATTTTGTGAGGTTGAGCTGTGGGAGAATGGCACGCACAGGATGTGGGGACTGGCTGTAGCTAGGATGCTGTTTTCAGTGTGGGTCGGGGGGGGGGGAGTGTGACTTTGGACAAGTCATTTATTTGTTTTTTCTTTTTTCTTTTTCTTTTCTTTTTTTTTTTTTGGACAAGTCATTTAACCCACTCTGAGTTTCCTCCTGGATCCTTCCATCCTGGATAATGACCCCCATCCTATCCACCTAGCAAACCTGTTGTGAGGATTAAATAAGATAAGGAATACATGCCAACGTGTTTGCAAAACACAGTGCCCTACCCAAGAAAAAGAAAGCTTTTCTGTACGTTGCCACCTGAGATTGGTACAGCCTTAGGTAAAGGCGTGTTTTTCATGGGCACAAAATAATGTTTAATAGAATGATGCCAAAAGAGAAATGATGCTTGCCTACTGTAGTAATAAGTCATTAACAAATGAAGTACTGGCTAGAGCTCATGAAGAAACTGTATCTTAGTTAAAATACTAAAACCTCTTACCTAAAATCCTTAGCACTCTTTAGGTGCTCAGAATAAAGATCTCCTTAGATGATGCCCTTATGCATGGGGGAATTGTATCTTAATGTGAAAGATGGTTTGGGGAGAAAAAAAAAGGGTACGGAAAGGAAACCTTCGTCCCTACTGTCCTTCTTCCCCCACTATCACCAAGGGAAAAAAGCAATTTCAAGTTGCATAGCAGGGTCTTTTGGTACCAATCAGAAACTCCTTAGGGGAAAACATGCAAACGATATTTCCATAGCTCAGGCAAGGAAAACTGGACCCAAAGAGAGCTTCAGGTTGAATGAAATGTCTAGGGACATATAGGTATGTTGGGAAATGGTTGCTAGGCAGAGAAGGGACTAGAAAGTGTTGGCATCTGAAGTGATGAGGAGCAGCACTGCTGTCAGACTTATTCAACAATTTAATACGGTTTTTAAATATTTATTAAGCACCCACTGGGTGAAGCATACTGCACACTAGTCAATCTTAGTCAATCTTCTAAGCTCAGTGGGAAAAATGCAGAAGAAATGAAGGACATGATGTTTGTCTTCAAGGAACTGACAGTACAGGCAGTACGGAAAGAACAGACAGGATATGATAATATTTGCAAAGCAGTTTAATGTCCAAATGAATATAGAGCAAAATGGGCTCATGAGAATGGAGGCTGGGAAAATGTAGAAAAAAGAAGTTTGAAACAAATCACTTATACTCAACTTTAAAGGGATGAAACAAAATGAAAAGCAGGAGCAGGTTATAAATTCTAATGACAATCTTGATAAAGTTTCAAAAGCCTTTTGGTCATAGATTAGACACTGATCAGGGAAGAAGGGCATGCAAAAGAATAAAAGAAAGAAGAAAAGAATACAATGACTACGCATTACAAAGTTTTATTATTTTTTTTTAAATCTTTTTTTTATTTATGATAGTCTCACACACACACACACACACACACACACACACAGAGAGAGGCAGAGACACAGGCAGAGGGAGAAGCAGGCTCCATGCACCGGGAGCCCGACGTGGGATTCGATCCGGGGTCTCCAGGATCGCGCCCTGGGCCAAAGGCAGGTGCTAAACTGCTGCGCCACCCAGGGATCCCCATTACAAAGTTTTAAAAGACTTTTTAAAGTTAAGAGAGGGAAAGAGAGAGAATGACAAAGAGAGAATAAATTTCATTATTTCCCCTTTGGACTAGTTAAGGTATTTATTCCCACATTTGCTTATCGTAAGGTTCCCTTAGATGTTTGTCAAAAAGAGTCCTAAGTTCAGTTCTGCTCTTGAAGATTCCAAACTGATCTGGCAGGGGAACTCAAGAGTGTAATTTTTACAGTTTCCTGAGGGGATTCTTATACTATTGTGTGTTTGGGAGACATAGAGATGAGCACAAGAGGTCTTCTCTTCCCTCTTCCTTTTTCCAAGAAAGGTCCTCCCAGAGTGAACCTATTTGAGACGGGGACGTAGATTCCATAATGAAAGAAAAAGACTTGATTGGGGTTTTATCTTGAAATAATGCAATAAAAAATTATGAAAACTATTTTATATTTAACATCTAAAGTTATAGTTGCAACTGTGTGCTAATTTTGATAGATTAAGTGTTAATTTCTGGGCACAGTTATTTTTATATAGCTTATTATCCTTCACTTTGCATTTGATTTTTGCAACAGGGTCACATTTGCAGAAATGTTGGAGGGCTTTATCCAGTTTTCCCAAAGTCCTCTCTTCATCCTTTGAAACTAAATTATTTCCTTTTGAAGCATTGATATCATCATCATTCTTATTGCTTTTCTTTTCTTCCTTTATTATCTGGTTCAACTTTGAGATCCTTCTTTATTAGTGACTTTGTGTGTGGATCCAGCAGTTTACCCACATCACTTTCACCAATTTTATGAAAGTCTATATCTTTTGCAAGATGTGCAATAGACATCTATTGTTTTTGAGGACTAGATATTTCCAAACAGATGACTAAGATTTTGATGGAGTGGATGTAGTGGAAGATGGAAGAGTTAAGGCGGGGAACAATTTCACAAGTGGTCATTTCACCAAAGAACATTTCATGTTTTAAAGACTTTTGCTTCTCCTACTAGAATTTATCAGAATTTTGGGGGAGATGGGTTACAGGGACTAAGTATATGTACCTGTATTTGGCTAGAAGAGGGAGGATGAAATGGTAAAGCGGTGGAGAGAAATGCAACTTTGCAGGGGTCAAGTTATAAGAATGGGACAGGATTTCAGGGAACAGAAGACAAACAGGTGAATACAGAAACTGTAAGAAGCAGATAAATTCCTGCTTGCAGCAATATGAAGAGCATTCCTTCTCTTAGTTGGGTTGAATCATAAGTAAACTTGTGAATAAACCCAATACACAGAGATTTTTTTAATAATAAATTTATTTTTTTATTGGTGTTCAATTTGCTAACATACAGAATAACACCCAGTGCTCATCCGTCAAGTGTCCCCCTCAGTGCCCGTCACCCACTCACCCCCACCCCCCGCCCTCCACCCCTTCCACCACCCCTAGTTCGTTTCCCAGAGTCAGGAGTCCTTATGTTCTGTCTCCCTTTCTGATATTTCCCACACATTTCTTCTCCCTTCCCTTATATTCCCTTTCACTATTATTTATATTCCCCAGATGAATGAGAACATTTAATGTTTGTCCTTCTCCGATTGACTTACTTCACTCAGCATCATACCCTCCAGTTCCATCCACGTTGAAGCAAATGGTGGGTATTTGTCATTTCTAATAGCTGAGGAATATTCCATTGTATACATAAACCACATCTTCTTTATCCATTCATCTTTCGATGGACACCGAGGCTCCTTCCACAGTTTGGCTATTGTGGACATGGCTGCTAGAAACATCGGGGTGCAGGTGTCCCGGCGTTTCATTGCATCTGTGTCTTTGGGGTAAATCCCCAACAGTGCAATTGCTGGGTCATAGGGCAGGTCTATTTTTAACTCTTTGAGGAACCTCCACACAGTTTTCCAGAGTGGCTGCACCACTTCACATTCCCACCAACAGTGCAAGAGGGTTCCCTTTTCTCCGCATCCTCTCCAACATTTGTGGTTTCCTGCCTTGTTAATTTTCCCCATTCTCACTGGTGTGAGGTGGTATCTCATTGTGGTTTTGATTTGTATTTCCCTGATGGCAAGTGATGCGGAGCATTTTGTCATGTGCATGTTGGCCACGTCTGTGTCTTCCTCTGTGAGATTTCTGTTCATGTCTTTTGCCCATTTCATGATTGGATTGTTTGTTTCTTTGGTGTTGAGTTTAATAAGTTCTTTATAGATCTTGGAAACTAGCCCTTTCTCTGATATGTCATTTGCAAATATCTTCTCCCATTCTGTAGGTTGTCTTTTAGTTTTGTTGACTGTATCCTTTGCTGTGCTTCTTATCTTGATGAAGTCCCAATAGTTCATTTTTGCACTAAATGTATAGGTTGATATGAGAATAGACATTTTTATAGTATTGCATCTTTTCATCTGTTAGATCCTTTATGCCCTTTTATCATATTATGTAACTTTCTCCATAAGGAATTCTCGCCTCCTCTATTAGATTAATTCTGCTACATTATAAATTCCATTGCTGTTGTTGTTTCATTTCTTATTACATTTCCTAAATGGTTATTGATGGTGTATAGTAATATTACTGATTTTTGTATACTGATCTTGGAACCAATATCCTTGTTGAATCTTTTATTCTATTGGCTTTTCCATTCATTCCTTTGGATTGTTCTATGTAGTTGGTCAGACCTTATGAAAATACCAATCTTGCCTTTTCTTTTCCAAATCTCATCTTGTTTTTTTCTCTCTCTTATTGCATTAGCTAGGACCTATAGTGCAATGTTTTATAATAGTAGAAATAGGGACACATAGGTGGCTCAGCGGTTGAGTGTCTGCCTTCAGCTCAGGGCGTGATCCTGGAGTTCTGGGATTGAGTCCCGCATCAGGCTTCCTGCATGGAGCCTGCTTCTCCCTCTGCCTATGTCTCTGCCTCTCTATCTCTCTGTGTCTCTCATGAATAAATAAATAAAATCTTAAAAAAAATAGTAGAAATAGAGAATCTCCTATCTTGTTCCTATCTTTAACAGGAAATCTGGTCTTACCATTGAATGTTTGCTGCAGAATTTGGTAGAAACCCTTTATCAGGTTAAGAAAATCCTCTTATGTTCCTTGCCAAAAATTGTTTTTTAGTCATGAATGA